GGAAACGTCTGCACGACCACCCCAACCAAAGCAGGACGCCAAGCTTCCGCCCGGTCGCCGATGCGGCGTGCCGCCCACTCAACCTGTTCGGCCAAGGCATAGCATCCCGTGAGGCGCCTGATTATGTCATTCATTCAGGATGTTTCGGCGACCAGCCGGTTCGAGCAGTTCGTTCTGAACGCCATTTCGGCGGTTCACCTTCGATATCTTCGGCAACCCGGTCGGCTTCAACGCGGGTTTCGAGCATCGTCAGGAAAGGCGAGCTTCACGCCTGATGCCTTCCAGCAACAGGGACTGGGTCGTTCGGTCGCGATCGCTCCAGTGTCCGGCAAGGTACACTAAATGAAGTTTTCGGCGAAGTACTGGTCCCACTCATTTCGCCAAATAATAACTTCGTCATTTACAATGTTGACGTCTTTGCCGCGGGGTGTCAACAATACCGTTAACGGCAACTTTTTCTCATGGTCGGCGGGTGGCAGCATTCAACCGATCCGTGACATTTCGGTTCCGCGGCAATTTCCCTAGGTCGTTCCGCGCCGTCGGTTGTGGAGCTGTTTTCTCCTATTACCAACACCTTCACAACTGTCACGGATTACTGCTCGCCTGCCAACCGGAATGCCGGGCCGGTGCCGGATATCCGCAATCGGAACTACCGCCTTCTTGGCACGTTATCCGACCGCCACGCCTCGCGGCGGCATCAGCCACGGTTCCGGGGCGTTCCGGTGGCAACCCGAGTTCGGTAGAATGAAGAGGCCAACAGCTACGAACTCGGTGTGGTTCTCCAGCCGCGCTTCGTGCGGGCCCTGACCTTTTGGTCGATTACCTAAACATCAAGCTGCGCAAGCCGATCCGAGCCTGACCGTCGCACAGATCGGTTCGGCATGCTTCGACAACGCATCGTTCAACGCCGACGACCCCGCCAATGGCAATGCGTTCTGTTCGCTGATCCGTCGCGACGCGGCGGGACAGGTCATTTCCGATCCGGCTAGCCCAGCGGTCAATGCAGGATATGTCAACGGCGTCCGATACGACTTCGAAGGTCTGCAGGCCGTGCTGGAGTATCGCACACGTCTTAATGGCCTGAAGTTGCCCGGTACGCTAATCATCGGTGGCGATGTACTTCGGGGCAAGCGCCTGAATGACGTGACGGGTGTCGCTCCCGCACGGACCGACGGCACGATCAGCGATCCGCAGTTCTGTGGGCAGGCGCGTTTTCGCTGTATCGTACCGACAGCTGGGGTTTCAGCACCTTCGCCAACTATACCGGCCAGCAATTGACCTCGCGCTTCAATCGCGGGCCCAACCCCAACGACACGCGTGAATTCGATAAGTACAAGGACTTCATCACTGTCGACGCAAATATATTCTTCGACGACGGATCGCTTCACGTTGATCCACCGCGACGAACCTGACGGACCGGATCAGCCAGCGTTATTACGGGTATTACATACCCGGCGTCGTCAACGACGCTTTTGACGCCGCTTTGCCATTACGGCAGCCGTAAAATACTGATCCTATAGTTGAGGGATCGGGGCCTTCTTCGAAGGCCCTTTTTTTTATCCCCCGCGCGAAGCGTTAGGAGGCCGGTCAGCAACCATATTGCGACACGCCCGAGGCGGCGGAGGCGGCGGCGAGGTCGTAGTCCATGCTCAGCCAATCGCCCTCGGCCAGATCGCCCCGCGGTGACATTAATCGCGAGCAAATCCATCGATACGCGGCCGAGCACCGGCAATTTCACCCATCCACCACTGCCGCACCCTGCGCCCAGACAAGGCACGGCGATAGCCATCGGCATAGCCTGTGTTGAGGATCGCCACCCGGTATCGGCGGGCGCGGTCCAGTGGCGTTGTAGCCGACCGTCTCACCAGCGGGAACGTGACGGCGTTGCAGGATCTGTGCCCGGGCCAAAGCGACCTGACGCAGATGCTGCGCCATGTCGGGCGCGGCACGCCTCCATAGAGGCCAAGCCGGCCGGGTCAGATCGAAACGATAGTCCGCGCCCGGGCCGATGCCGGCGGAATTGGCTGTGTCATTCGCCGCGCGCCGGTCTGCCCCTTGAGGCCGGCAGCGGCCGCCGCCTGCTGCCGTGCGTTCATCGGCACGTCTTCGTCGGCGCAGGCCAGATGGCTAAGCAGCGTCTCGATCTGCAAGCCATCGAGCAATCCCCCGTCACGGCCTCGACCGACACGCCCAGGCCGGTCTATGCCTGTGTCGACCATCACGTCGCACAGGCTGCCGTTGCTGTCGCGCCAGCGCAATCTGTTCGGGCGTGCTTCAGGACAGGCGAGCAAAGCCGGCGCGGGCCACCTCGATATCGTCAGCGCGCAGGCTGTGCAGCACCGATACGGTCAGGCCCAGCGGCGCCAGCGCCAGCGCCTCGGCCCAATTGGCGACGAAGAAGTCGCGACATCCCGCCTCAGCTGTGGCCTTGGCGACGAGGGTCGCACCCAAGCCAGCCATTGGCCTTCACCGCCGCACCGCAAGCCGCTGTCCCACTCAGCCGATCGAGCGCCTGCCAGTTGATTGGAGCGCATCGCGGTCGATGCGCAGGCGAAGGGGCGGGTATTTCCATCACCCACCGGGCTTTAGGCCGCATTGGCGGGGTGAAAGGCGGTGGGGATTTTTGCCAATCGCCCCGGTGGCTGGGGATTACCGCAGCGTGCGGATGATCCTGAAAGTCCACCGGCGGTTGCCCCTCGCCGACGAAAGCCGCGTAAAGCCCGCCGCCCGCTCGCCCATCGGCGTGGTCGCGCCCGTATCGCGCGCGGCCTCCATCGCCAGCTTCAGATCCTTGAGCATCAGCGCCGCCGCGAAGCCGCCCTGATAGTCGTGATCGGCGGGCGTCTCCGGCCCGACGCCGGGCACGGGCAATATTTGGTCATCGACCAGCTCTGCCCCGACGAGACCGAGGCGATGTCGTGCTGTCTGCGCCTCCAGCCCCAGCTTCTCCGCCAGCACGAAGGCTTCGCAGGTCGCGATCATCGTCGCGCCGAGCAGCATGTTGTTGCAGATCTTGGCCGCCTGCCCCGCGCCGTTCGCCCTGGCATGGATTACCGCCCCGCCCATCGCCGACAGGAAGGGCTCGGCACGCTCGAACGCCTCTTTCAGGGCCACCGACCATGAAGGTCAGCGTCCCCCGTTTTGGCCGCGGGCGATCCTGCCCGAGACGGGCGCGTCGACCGCCATCATGCCCTTTCCTCCTGCCGCCTCCGCCACGCGGCGCGCGGTGGCGACATCGATGGTCGAGCAGTCGATCAGGATGGCCGAGGGCGCGGCGGCGAAGACCGCATCGGTATAGACGCGCCGACATGGGTTCCGGCGGGCATGGTCACGACCGCCTCGACCCCATCCATCGCCGCGATCGCACTGTCGACGGGCAGACATCCGGCCGCCTTCGCCGCCGCCAGCGCATCCGCCGACAGAGTCGAAGGCGGACGTCATGCCCGCCTGCCAGATTGGCGGCCATGCCGCCGCCCATATTGCCCGAGCCGATAAAGGCGATCCGCGCCATCCTGTCTCCTAACGTCGTTGATGCGGGGCCGGAATTTATTTTCGGTCCAGTTGGGCGCGCGCTTCTCGACGAACGCGGGCCATGCCTTCCTTCTGGTCGGCCGGAGCCGAACAGGCCGTGGAACAGCCGCCGCTCGAACTGCACGCCTTGGGCCAGCCCCATGTCGAAGGCGGCGTTGACCATTTCCTTGTTGCGCGCACCGCGATCGGGGCCATGCCGGCGATGGTCGCGGCGGTCTTCAGCGCGTCCTCGACAAGATCGGCGGCGGGGATGATCCGCGCGACGAGGCCTGCGCGCTCAGCTTCTCGGCATCCATCATCCGGCCGGTCAGGGCACATTTCCATCGCCTTGGCCTGCTGACCACGCATGAGCCAGCCGCTGCGATCCGCCCATGCCGGGCGTCACCCAGCTTGATCTCGGCTGGCTGAACTTGGCGGTGTCGGCGGCGAGGATGAAGTCGCACATCATGGCGAGCTCGCACCCGCCGCCCAGCGCATAGCCCGCCACCGCCGCGATGATGGGTTTCCGGGTGCGGGTGAAGTCGTCCCAGCTGGCGGGTTGCCGCCATATGGCGGCGAAGTCCATCTCCTGCATCTCCTTGATGTCCGCACCCGCCGCGAAGGCCTGGGGCTGCTGGTGATCACGGCACAGCGCTGTTCGGGATCGGCGCTGGCAGGCCCGCATCACGTCCAGCACAGCAGTTCGGCATTGAGCGCGTTCAGCGCCTGCGGCCGGTTGAGCGTCACCGGTCATTTCGCGGCGCTCGACGATCAAGGTGTTGTAATCAGCGCGTCCTCTTCAGCGGTCGTCCGGGGTCCAGCCTGCCCGGGCAAGGCAAAAAGAAGATATGGTCGATCATCGTGTGTGACGCTTCCGGGGTCGCCAGGTTCCAGCGCGGGCGTTGTCCTTGTCGACGATCAGCGCGCGGACCCTCGATGAAGTCGGGACGCTGCACCACATGCGCGGCGACACCATATTCGCGGCGCATCTCGTCGGCGAACCGGTGGTCAGCGCGCCCTCATGGAGCAGACGGGCGAAACCTTGCAGGCTTGTGGCGACTTGGTGCGGAGGACCGCCAGTTGCTGCGTCGCCCATTCACCGCCATCGGCCTCCAGCGTAGCGACGATCTCCTCTAGCGTGTCGGCGGCGAACACCGGTCGATGGCGATAGCGTGCGCCATGATCTTCGCCCGGGCGCGCTGGCACGGAGAGTCGATCGAGCGTTGCCGCGATCTCTTGCGGCGCGGATATAATCGCAGCCTTGGCCTCCTCCAGCGCAGAGGCGGGCAGATATGGGTGGCGAGGCCCAGTGCATGGGCCTCGGCCCCGTCGAGCCGGTGCCCGGTCAGTGCCAGAAATATTCCCCATCCGCCCCCGGCAGGCGCGACAGATACCAGCCGCCGCCGACATCGGGGAACAGGCCGATTCCCGTCTCTGGCATGGCCAGCCGCGTATTCTCGGTCGCGACGCGGAAGCGGGCGGGCGCGAAAATGCCGACGCCCCCCGCCCATGGTGATGCCATCCATGAACGCTACGATCGGCTTGGCATAGGTGAACAGCCGGTGGTTCATCCGGTATTCGGCGTGGAAGAAACTGCGCCGCCTCACCGTCGCCCGCGCCGCTTTCGGCGAGCAGACGAATGTCGCCGCCCGCACAGAAGCCGCGACCTTCGCTATGGTCGATGCGATGATGGCCTCGACATCGAGGTCCGCCCGCCAGTCTTCCAGCGCGGCGAGTACCCCTCGCACATCTCACGGGTCAGCGCGTGATCGCCTTGGGCCGGTTGAGGCGGAGCCGCCTGACCGCCTTCGCGGGTGACGATCAGGTCTTCAGTCATGCGGCTCTCTTACCTTTCTTCTACCACCCCCGGCGAAGCGTCAGTCCAGTTGCCAAAGATTGGCGTCAGTCCTTCAAAAGATCCCGCCCGACGATCATTCGCATCACCTGATTGGTGCCTTCCGTGATCGAATGCACGCGCAGATCGCGCCAGAAGCGTTCGATCGGGTAATCCATCAGATAGCCGTAGCCGCCATGGAGTTGCAGCGCCCGGTCGACCACCGACGATCCGGTATCGGTCGCCAGCCGCTTGGCCATCGCGGCGAAGCGGGTCTTGTCGGGCGCGTTGTCGGTCACCTTGGCGGCGGCGAGATAGAGCAGCGCCTGCGCCGCCTCCAGTTCGGTCGCCATGTCGGCCGTGCGAATTGCGTGGTTCTGGAACTCGGCGATGCCGAACTGGCGGCGGTCCTTCACATACGCGACCGCCTCGTGAACGTTGCGCGCCGCCCAGCGAGCAGGCGCCGGTTCCAACCGCCGCCGTCAGCCCCATCATCGCGATGCAGGAACCCCTTCACCCTCCGCGCCCAGCCGGTTGGCGACGGGAATGCGGACGTTGTCGAACATGACCTGCCGCGTCGGCTGTGAATGCCAATTGGCTTGCGCTCGTTCGCGCCGAAGGAAATGTCGATCACGAGGCAGGAAATGCCCTGGGCCCGTCCTCGCCGGTGCGGACCATGGTGACGCACACCTCATTCTCGCCGCCGATGAGATGAACTTTGAGCCCGAGACCACATAATGATCGCCGTCCGCACCGCGCGGTCTTGAGCGCGCGGCGGCGTCGGAGCGAGCCCGGCTCGGTCAGGCAATATTGGATGCGGTCCATGGTGAGACGAGGTCGGGCAGGTAACGCCCTTCACATCCGCATCGCCGAACTGGTCGATCATCCCGACGCCATATTGTGGATCGAGATGAACGCGCTGGTCGAGGACAGCCATAGGCCATCGCCTCCATGATGAGCGCCGCCTCCAGCCGCCTGAGCGCGATGCCGCCGGATTCTTCGGACACGTAGATCGCCGCGAAGCCGAGTTCGGCCGCTTCACGAATCGTGTCGCGCGGAAGATGTGCTTCGTCCCCCACCGGCCGCGAAGGGCGTGATCCGGTCAGCGGTGAAGCGACGCGCGAGGTCCCGGATCTCGCGCTGCTCGTCGGTCAGGTCGAATTGGGTCGCGTCTCTCGATCAGCCCATGGTCGGGATGACGAAGGCGTTACCGCCATCGGGCGCGCCGTCGGGCCAGCGCTGCGTCACCGTCTTCACCTTGGTCCAGAAGCGGACGCCCTCCATGCCGTGCTGGTTCGTCGTCGCCGAAGGCTGGAGCGCTTCCAACCACCGGAAGCTGTGGATAGGCGACGGCACCGGGATCGGCACGTTGATGCCGACCATGCCGGACTTCCGACGCGGGCTGCGAACTCGCGCGCGCGGCGTGGCCGTTGCGGGTGAAGATGGCGACGCCGTTGCCGTACTGGTGCTCGCTGGGCAGGCGCACCGCCGTCTCGAAATCGGGCGCGCGGACGATCTGGAGCACAGGGGGCCGAAAATCTCTTCTTGTAGCTCTGCATGTTCGGGGTGACCTGGTCAAACAGCGACGGGCCGATGAAGAAACCCTCCTCATACCCCCTCGAGCGTGAAGCCGCGCCCGTCGACGACCAGTTCCGCGCCCTCGTCGACACTTCGGTTTGAATCCAGTCCTCGACCCGCTTCTTGTGCGCGGCGTTGACGACCGGACCGTAATGCGCCTGCGCATCGGTCGAGACACCGACCCGCAACGCGTCGATCGCGGGATCAGCTTTTTCGCGCAACGCATCCGCCGTCTTGTCGCCCACCGGTACGACGACGGCAGCGCTACACCGCTCGCCCGCCGAGCTGAAGGCCGCGCCTGACAGGTCGGCGACCACCGTCGAGATCGGCGTCGGGCATGACGATGCCATGGTTCTTCGCGCCGCCCATCGCTCGACCCGCTTGCCCGCCTCCACCCCGCGCCGATAGACGTAATGGCGATATCGGACGAGCTGACAAAGCTGACCGCGCTGATCGCCGGGTGGTCGAGGATCGCATCGACCATCGCCTTGTCGCCGTGGACGACCTGAAGGATACCGGGCGCACCCGCCTCGCGCAGCAGTTCGGCGAGGCGGACGGGGAACCGAGGGGTCGCGCTCGACGGCTTCAGGATGAAGGCGTTGCTGCAGGCGATGGCGACGCCGAACATCCACATCGGGATCATCGCGGGGAAGTTGAACGGGGTGATCCCGCCCCGATGCCCAGCGGCATGCGCATCGAACAGACGTCGATGCCCGGCCCCGCGCCCTACGGGTATATCCGCCCTTCAAGGCGTGCGGAATGCCACAGGCGAACTCGATCACCCCAGCCCGCGCTGGATGTCTCCTCGCGCGTCGGCGATCACTCTGCCATGTTCGAGGAGAGCAGATGGGCGAGCGCGTCCATATTCTGCTCGACCAGTTCCTTGAACTGGAACATCACGCGCGCCCGGCGCTGCGGATTGGTCGCGGCCCAGCCGGGTTGCGCGGCTTGCGCGGCGGCGACGGCGCGTTCGAGCAGCGCGGCATCGCCCAGCATCACCTGGGCCTGTACCGGCCGCTATTGGGGTCGAAGACATCGCCCAGACGGCCTCGGGTCGGGTGGCGGAGGCATCGGTCGCGGTCTGTCCGCCAGCGACCCAATGATCGATCACGCGCATATTCTCTCCTGTCGCGGGTCTGATGCCCGACTCTCACCCTTTGTAATTATATTGCTCGGTCGTGAAATCCAAGGGGTCCGCAGAAAAGCCGACAAAGCCCCCGCTCCGCCCGCGTCAGGCGGCGCGCGACAGGGTCCATGCGGCGGCGGCGGCGGCCAGCGCGGCCATCACCGCACCCCACAGTGCGGCCACGCCCCATTGCGCATAGCTCAGCGCACCCAGACCGCCCCCGCGACAAATCCGATCCACAGCAGCAGGCACCAGCCCAAAGCGCGTCCGCCCCGCCACCATCCGCGCCAGATGCTGGCCGATCTTGACCAGCGTCCCGGTCATATAGGTGACACCGATGCTGACCTCGCCATCGCGCTCGAAGGTGGCGTTGGCCGCGCCCATCGCGACCGCCATCAGCAGGCCGGCCCAGCCCGACGGCGGCGGCCCCGCCAACAGCATCGCAACCAGCACCAGCACCACTGGCTGGCCCGCGCGGGGCAGGATCAGGCGGATCAACGTGCCCAGCATCACCCCGACGACGAACAGCGCCAGCAGCGCCGCCAGCAGCGCGACGCCGTGTGCCGCGCCACCGGCGCGACCAGCCCCAAAGCCAGCATCGTGCCGTTGCCGCCATGAACGAGACGAAATAACCGCCCAGCCGCTGAAAAAAACCGATCGCATCGACATAGCCCGCCAATAGCGAAAGGCCGATCGCCAGCGGCGTGAACGTCGATCGGATCGGATCATGGCGCCCGCTTATAGCGGTTGCACGGCAAAGCGCGACGGGGTCGCGAATGCTCGGGTCGTTTCGTAAATTATCGGCAGGAAGCGAAAGGGACCGGATCGGATACGGTGCAGAAGCGTTGGCGCCATTCATATTCGGGGAAATGGCATGGCCGGTGCGTTACTGGAGATTTGGTTGACGGTATCGGCGCTATCGTCGTTGCTGATTATCATGGTCGCCATTGGCAGCAGCGATTTGCGGTGGGATCGTCATATCCGCCCCTGCCCGGTCCCATGCACGCGGTCGCACCACGTCGGCGTCGGCGCGGTCGCGCCTGATATGGACTGGCTGCAGCCATCATGGTTGCGGCACCAAGCCTCAGAAAAGCTGTAGGAAACGATCCAGAAAACCGGGCCGACGGGCACACGCATGGCCATATAGCGGGCGCGGTCATCGGCCGCACGGCGATACAGGGCATCCAGCGCTCCTCGCGTGGCAGGTCGGAGATACGCGGCGGTGGCATATGACTGGCCATGGACTGCCCTCTTGTTTTCTTTTCTGTCGAACCGTTGATTCCAACGACGAACCGCGGGACTTGTTCCCGGATCGTGACAGGGCGGTCATCGACCAGCCGCACTGAGCCCATGTCCGAAACGGCGGGATTGCCCCCAGGCAAGCGACGCACCGCCATTCGCCTCACATCCGAACATGAACGTCTCGTAAGTTTTTCCGTAAGCGGTGCGTCAGGGCACTGGCCCTATCGCCCGGCGCAATTTCCAGTCCTTCGCGCCGAAAGAAGCCGATGCACGCCAACCCTGCCGACGAAACGCTACCCGAAACCCGTCGCCTGTCCTCGGCACAGCAATGGCGCTGGGTCGCGATCGCCGCCGCCGTGCTGGTTGGGGGCGCTGCTCATCACGCTGATCGGCAACTGACCCATAAGGAGGAGGTTCCGCCCGCCCTGCCGCCGGCTGGCACGCTGCGCCTGTCGAAGGAGCAATTACGCCATGCCGACCATACGGGTGGCTGGGCGCGTCGGGTGCCCAGACGATGGCGACGGGATCGATCACGGCCGATGCCACCCGCTCGACCCCGGTGCTGATGCCCTATGCGGGCCAAGTGGTACGGGGTGCTCGCCGATGCCGGCCAGTGGTGCGTCAGGGCCAGCCGCCGCTTTCATCAAGACCAGCGACTTCGTCGATGCGCGCTCCAGCCTGTTCTCGGCCCGGGCGGCTTATCAGAACGCGCAGGCACAGCTCGTCGCGGCGCAGCGCAATGCCGACCGCCAGCAGCAGATCTACGAAACCGCCGGCGGCGCGCTGAAGGATTATCAGCAGGCCAAGGCCGACCTCGCCGCACAGGCGACCGCGCGCGCATTGCCGCCGCGGGCGCTGGGCGCCGCGCGCGACAAGCTGGCCGTGCTCGGCAAGTCGCAGGGTGAGATCAACTGGCTGGAACATTCCGGCCGTGGTTCGCATCCACGACATCACCACGCTGGTCGCGCCGATCAGTGGTGTCGTCGCGTCGCGCGATGTTGCGCCGGGTCAGTACGTCTCGCAGGGGCGGCGACAAGCCGGTGATGACCATCACCGACCCCTCGCGCGTCTGGCTGGTCGCGCAGGTCGCCGAGAGCGATGCCGAGAATGTGCGCGTCGGCGATCCCGTCGAGGTGACGACGCCCGCCGTGCCGGGCCGCGTCTTCCACGCCACCATCGATCTGGTCGGTGCCGCGCTCGACCCCCGAGACCCATCGCCTGCCCGTCCGCGCCCTCGATCCCCAATCCCGACAAGGCGCTGGAAGCCGCAGATGTTCGCCAGCTTCGCGATCCAGCATCTGAACGCGGGCGAAGCGATCCGCGTCCCCGCCGCCGCCGTCATCCATGAAGGCGACACCGCGCGTCTGGATCGAGCGTCCTGACGGCCTGCTGGTCGCGCGACGTGACGACCGGCGACTCCGCTAACGGCCCGGTCACGATCACCTCGGGGCTGAAGCCGGGCGAGAAGATCGTCACCTCGGGCGCGCTGTTCGTCAACGAAGCGGGGATCGGCGAGTAATGAACCGCATCGTCGACTTTGCGCTGCGTCAGCGACTGCTGATCGTCGGCCTGTTCTTCGCGATGATCGTCGCTGGCGTCATCGGCTTCATCAACCTCAACATCGAAGTTTATCCCGACCCG